ATGAGGTATAAACAACAAATATCAATACTGACAACATATTTTTTATCAATTTAAATAAAAAGCATGAGGTATAAACAACAAATATCAATACTTGATGTGATATTAAATTTAGGTAAAATTTATTTAATTATATCAAAATAAAATATAAGCATTGCTAAGATAAAATTTAAGTGTTGTTAAGAGATTCACTTGATTTGTAGAAAACTCGAATATTAATTGACATTTTTATTATTTACTATTTATGATGGATTTTTTTTTTCAAATCTTTAAATGTGATTTTCGTGGTTTTTAATAATAATTTCTTTTTAAAATAAACCTGGATTTGGTGATGGTTCGAGTTGAGAGTGGCATACCAAAAATCCACTCCGATGCAATTCATTTCCATCCTTTTCTATAAAAAAAGAAAAAAAATTATAAAAATTTTCATGGACAAGGTTCTAATTGAGTGTTCTTGGACAGCTTAAGGGTCCACTTGGTTAAACTTATAAATTAGGGATTTAATTGAAAGAATATTATAGGTTGGGGACTAATATAAGATTACGCAAACATATCTGACCTTCCGATCTCCTGGCTCGCGTGTTATATTAATGGGGTTTGATCTGATCTTTTGGCGCACGCAACACGGTTCGTGACTTTGATGTCTAACAGGAAAGGGTAAGAGTACCAAGTTGTGCATGGGAGTTTGTGTAAATTTCAATAAATGCCATTCCTTTTTGTCGTTTTGTTAAGGTTGGTGAAAGCCTCCAGCTGTGCATTTACAATAATAGGGAATAATAGAAATCCGAGATGGAGAAACGGGGCCGGTCGGGTCATGTCTCGGGTCATAACCGAACCCGGTTTGAATATGGATCTTGCAGTTGGAGATTAGAAATTCTGATCGTGTATTCGGAGCGAGAGGAATATAAGGATAGGAAATAAAATAAAATATTATATTTAAAATCATTAATCTATTTTTGGGGTGAAAGAGGAATATAAGGAAAGGACATAAAATAAATAAAATAAAATATTATATTTAAAATCTTAATTTAAAAAATAAACATTATCACGTAAAAACCATAAAAATATCCATGGTGATTTTCGTGGGTCATGAGACCTTCGTAGCTTGTATCTTTCGATCAAGAGGAGGAAGAGGGCCGAGGCTCTTGTAAAGTTTTTTGTCTGCTTGATAAAGGTTTACGTTGATGGGGAATGAGAATCTTGTTCTCCTGCCATGAAAATGTGATTTTTTGAGATGTCAACTCAAATAATATTTAGAATTCTTTCTTGTGTTACTATTTTAGGTTGAAATTTAAAATGAGAAAATTTTTATAATGATGTCATCTTGAATACTAACAACATATTACCAAACAAAACACACTAAAATGGTGGTGAATTTACTATTTACCTCGATATAATGCATTATGAATAAAAAAATAAATTTATTATTTTAATTAGAAAGGTAGATTAATAATATTTTTTTATTTTTTAAAAATTATTTTTGAAATTAATATATCAAAATAATTTAAAAGCATCAAAAACAAATTAATTTAAAATAAAAAATTCAAAATTTTCAAAAATATTTTTGCAATGCAGTATCGAACATGCATGTTTGGAAGCTAATGACTGGGTAGGATCGTCTTCGCAAAAAAATTATTTTGACATTTTAAGATTGATCAGGACATTACTAGGATTTTTCTTTTTTTATATATTGTTAAATTACAACGATGTCATTAGAAGAGGGAATTTGTTTGTTTTTATGGAGATGTATTTTTGTTTTTAAATTTTATTATGTATCGTTAAATTATTATATTACCTTTAAAGTTATAAGTGCAATTAAATGATCAACTTAACCTTTGAGTTTATTTATTTAAAGCCTAGGGTCAAAGGGTATTTTAGTTATTTTGTAATTAGTCTTTTTGGGTGGGGCAAAAGCATTTTGGTCTTTCAAATTATTAAGAGAAATAAAAAAAAAATGATACGGTTGGGAACGCTCTAGCTGCTCCGCTATCTTTGAACAGCATATCTAGCTAATTCCAGCAGTCAAAAAAGCTATTTTGGGGTTGTTTCAACTTTGTCTCAATATCTCTTTCATAGATATACGGCTAGTGCATTGATCAGAACCCTAACTTGTTATAGGAAACCTTTTTCTTCTTCTTCTTCTTTCTTTGCTCTCTCTTCCTTAGCGTTTGGGCCTGCCACCTAATTTTTAAGTTAGCCCCTAAACTTCTATTTTTTTTATTTGGTCCTTGTTCTTTTGGTTATGATTTTTTTAAAATAATCCATTGAATTATATTCTTATTTTGATTTCATCCTTATTTAATTTTTTATTGTAATATCCTTTATAAATACATGCAATAATTACTCAGTTTCTCATGAATGTTACAACTTTTAAAGTGAAAATTTAAAAAAAAACAATAAAAATCTATCAAAATTTCAATAAAGTCTCATTTATATTTGGAGATCTTAAACACTCATTTCCTTCTGACCCAAACTTTCATTTTATATTAATACACATTATGCTAATTTGGATCCCCACACATTTATTTTAAGGTTCTAACCTTTTATCAACAATTTCATTTTTTAACTTCTATTATTTAATATTTTATTAACAATATTTTATGTCTAGCCTTTTATCAAACACTCCATGAGCATTAATTCAACTCATCAGTTTTATAGGAATTTTACATACACATCCTCCCAAACACAAACACGCCAACAAAAATTTATATATCAACACTTAACTTGAATGGTCATAATCCAAATCTAATCATAATCATATTAATTATACATAATTAAAACTCAACACATCATATAATACCAAAACATATTCAAATTCCAAAACTTTCATAATTACATCAACATCGTCGGTTACCCATGGTTTAAAAATTCATTATTGGCTTTAAATTCATCAATTAGACTACTAGTAATACCATTTCTAATATAAATTCCATAATAGTTTAATCAATCTAACAATTTACACCATTAAATTTTAAGCATACATAATCTCATATTTTTCTATTTTTCCAAAACATGTCAACAATAAACTTAAGAATAAAACAACTAAATTTTCTTTAATCATACTCCAATAACTTACACAATAATTAACACAATTCTAGCATAAGCAATTTGGTTCCCTATTGACCAACCATTAAACCCTTAGAAACACTATGATTTTCATCATTATTTCTACCTTATTTAACACCCAACACAACCTAATTTGATAAATTCATGGTTAATTATATTTTTTCTAAAATTTCACTTTAAATGCTAATATTAATTTCATGATTTTTACCTCAATTGTTATTCGTTTCGTCCAAAATTGTTAAATTAGATTTAGAATTCCTTATTAAACTTTAATCTAATATTTGAATTTCAATTAATAATTTTTTTTTGGATCACCCTTTTAATACCCTTGCTGCCATGATTGTGCATTGATCTCCCCTTGATTTCCTTCACTTTTCTATCTTGTTTAGATATTTAAAAATGTGGTGATAAGTGTTACTCTCAATCCTCCTTTAAATCTTTCAATTCTTTTGTACTTTCTCTCAATTTTTTTTTTCGAAGAAAAACTCAATATTTATTCCTTTTTCTTTGTTCTAGCTCCTGTTGGCCTTGATGAGAGAGAGAAAGAGATAGAGAGAGAGATAGCTTTTATATGTGTTTTGCTTTTTTATTTACACTTTAACTCCTCCTTTATATATGATATTATTTTGTCCTCAAGTTTCTAATTTATTTTCTTCCTTTTGTTTTGTTTAGTGTCACAACACCCTCTCTCTATTTTTTTTTTATTTCAATCTTTTTCTTGATATTAAGTTTCAATTTTCTTAATTCTAATTTAACCTATTCTAATTCCTAGTCTTTATGTATTGTTATAAAATTTAAATCCTACCTAAATATACAACTATAATCCTATATAGATATTGATACCAAACAAAGACTTTATTAAATCCTAATGCAAACTAAACTACTCTGGTAACAATACAACATGAATCCAAAGCTAGGCTAATTTTATGAATACGTTTAGTTATTTTACAAAGGACTCTTACTTAGAATAGAATTAAAAATCTTGATTAATCCTGATTTTTTATGAGTGTTCAAACTCTTGTGATCAATTATATTTTTTTGGTCGATCATGACTTTTTATCACTTGGTTGACTACTTTAAAACTCGTGATGATTTAAAATTATTTAAACATGATTAAATCAATTTTATTATACTAAATCAATTTCAACTGTTTTTTTTATGATTTTATTATGAATAATCATATGAATAATCATTGTTTTGTATGATTCAAACATGAATATTTATTTTTGATGTAAATACGTTTCCATTAATGTTAAAAACATCTTGGGTAGAGAAGGGATTACTATAATGTTTTCAAATTTTGAGTGGACAATATGATTTCATGATATCTCAGGAATAATTTATACACAAATTAAAATTTTTAAATAAGAAAAAAGAAGAAGAAGAATAAAGAAAGAAAGAAAAAGTACTGGTTCGTCCAAGTCTGGCTTCCATCTTAATACAGACCCCCAAAAAGCAGGGCTCGCCAGTGCCCTTCCGGCCATAGCCCATGGATTTTGGCCACCCAAAGCAATTTCAAATTTTTGATCGTCTCAGAGTCCATCAGAAAAACCAGTTCAGGACCCCAGAACCATGGGCCAGCTCGTCAATCAAACAACTAAGAAAAGTGTAAATCATAACTTCACTCCTGTAGTTTAATGAAACCAATTAATTACTATTTACCTTCCAAATCTTTTATAATTTAGTCCTTTTTCAATTTATTTTGTTATTTTCTATTTTGAAGAATGGACACAAGAATACAAAAGCAAGCAAGATGAGAAGAATTGACTAAAGACAGCATTTTTGGAACAGAAAACTACTAAATTGAGGATGGACAATGCAAGTCAAGGGACTAATTTATTATAGTTATACACTCCAAGGACTAATTAAACTAGTTTTGATAAACTAGAAGGACTAAATCACAGCTGACTTGTAAGAAAAAAACATGCTTAGGTACCTCCACTTACCACGCTCAGGACAGCAAAACCACCTATCCCAAAGACGAATAAATTTTACTGAGCAAACAAACTGTTTTTCAGAGGATAAAGATGCCAGATTGCAAATGAGATGCCGGAAAATTCAAGTGATTTAATCATATGTCTTCGATGATAACATAAACATTGGATATTTATTAATAATATCATAAATATGGATAGGCATGAAAAATGATATTCATCGGCGAGATCTAAGTCATCTGAAAAGAAGTTTGAGCTCCATCTTCATCCCAAGAATCCTGTGGTGAAAATAAGCATCTTTTCCAGGATCCATCAGCAGTCCATTCAAACACACGTGGAAGCCTCGTGGGGAATGTCAAATTCCAGTGTGGTTGTTTGATCAAATAATCCCACTGCCTGCACAGTGCAAAATCTTTCAGTCGGCACTTATCATTTGTATCTACAGAAATCTGCCGGCTAATAAACATTGCTAACTGCAAGTAATCAGCCAAGTTTTGTTTGACTAAGATAAAAAAAAGCTATAAATTCAAATAATTTAATGAAGATTTTTAAAGCTATCATGGCTACCTCATCTAAGGCAATCCAGGCTTCCAAAATACAAATACTCAAATCTGTTGATATTCACTATGAATAGACATTGACCACCCATTGTTCTGATCATGTTCTAGTGCCCAAGGCAGACAGTGAGATGGCATTCTTTTAAAACATGCTCACCTTCTTAAATTATCCACAAATTCAGGGCCCTCGGCAGAAGGTGAAGTAGAGCACTGAAGGAGGATCTCTTCATCAGAAAGATCTTGCAGTGTCAAAGCAACTCGTACTTGCCAAAACGTCCTGCACAGTAGTTAAAGGAACACAAACATCAAACGTTTGGTACACTAACCTCAGAGTTTAGCCACAAGCACGAGACCACATACAATCTGTAGAATAGAAAATATTATGCCAATCACAATGCAGGCTACTGCTTTTGGAGAATTTTAATTTATGATGCAATTAAATCAAAATAAAAAGCTCAGCAGCAACCCGATACCAAGAGCATGGAGCAATCACAAATCGATCATTTTGAGTATCATAGGTCTCCAGTAACTTTCCGTTCCAAGTGGGGTCCTCATGGGAAGCAGAGATTCGAATTCTTCTGACAATTTCATCTGGGCGTCTCGTAGTTCTATCAAAACTGGCTGGGATGACGGATCCAGTGGATGTTTTTACCTGACAAAGTTCAGAGAAACATCAGACTCTACATTTCCAAATCTTAACAAACATTTCGACAACATAAAACAATGCTATTCATCATCTTGTCCTAAAACCAAGAGAACAAGACATTATAAACTTTTGATAAGCAACTACAGTTCATACTTGAAATAAGTTGGAACCACCTTGCAAATTCATTAAAAATCACCATTTGATGCTAGCAAATGGTTGAATGCTTTTTGATGAATTTAAGCATCAGATTTGCAGTCATATCATCTCCGGTATCAAATTTTGAGTTTCTAACCAGTCTTCTAGTATACTTTAGTTTTCTTGGCTGAGACACCAAAGGGCAAAGGCTGCAAAATATAACTTGTAGAAAATTCTCAGCATGAACTTGTATACAAATGGTGCTAAGGGCATGTTGGTAATAAGGTACATCCAAGAAATGCTGTCAAAGAAATTCCTTTGCTAGCTAGTTCTCGCCAAAAGGGAGTGGATGCTTACGCTATACAAGTCACGAATTTCAAGTCAAAGAAAAATGGTTTCCATGGGATACCAACTATGATCTTTCATTCAATTATTTCCTTCAGAGAAATAGAATCTAAAATTGTCCTATGAAATCAATGCAGATATTTAAGATGACAATGGACAATTTTAAAGTTGAACCTAACCAGAAACCCATTGAAAACCGGGTATGCATTCCCTTGAGAATCCCTTTTGGTGTTATGCCCAAGGACAAAGAGAGTTTGAATGTGAAACTTTTCCTCTCTCTCACGCAGAGTTTCAATTATCTTGGTACACAAAGGAAAGGAATAGCCATCCCCTTTTGCCTGGGTTCTAGAACTAGTGGAGCCGTTAGCTTGCTGCAAACAAATGGCAATGCATTCGCTTCAATCATTTTGCCTCAAGATGTAACTAGATCTCTAGAATATCAATAAGAAAGAAGAGTTTCCTGGACCAGACCTTAGGTAAGACATCTTCAAAACCACCAATCAAATGTACCTGCATTTAAAAATCACAAGAATGGCTTTCTCCAAGAAAAATAAATGAACCAGTGAAGAGAAGTTGTGAGTAAAGCAAAAAAATTGTGATGTAGAAAAGGAATAGATTAATACATCCAAGTCATCGTCAAAATTTTTGTCAACAACAAGCGACAACATTTGGGTGAGGCCATTATCGACAACTATGGTAGAATCCATATGGGCAACTGAGGTCCTGCAACTCATAAAATGCAAAAATGCAAAGTCAAAAATAAAACAATTAATATCATCAGTAGTAAAGTTCTGGGCACTTTCCCATCTCTTGTAAAATCGATTCTTACATTCCATTTCTCTGGTTCCGAATAACAAGGCCCACGCAAGTAGTTGCTTCATCAGTGCCAATAAACTTCACATGCAAGGACGGAAAAAGAAACATCTAAAACAGTAAAAAAAAATAAAAAAAACTTACAGCGTATTAAGACAAATAACAATTTACAGAGAGAAGAACAAAACTTGTTTCAGACTCACGAGAAAGAAACCTAAGATGATTCACAGAGATTTAGAACATGTGTTCACATGGTAAATGAGTCCATTACAGGGATTTGAACTGAAAATTTCAAAGAAGGCCACATTTGTTTCACGAGAGTGCCATGAGAAATCATTATTACTACTTAAAGCCACAAATTTATGACTATTTCTACACATAATTTCATAAGTTATCAAACAGGTAACATCTTTTGTTACCCGCACACATCGCTGCTGAGATTTCATTGTCAATTTAGAAAAGAAATGTAATCAATGATGAAAATATTTATAAGATGCAATCACAAACATTTAAACTAGGGACAACAGAAAACTTAGAGGTAAGAACTTCCTCAGACATTTACCCAGGGATAGCAAATAAAGAGCACGGTCCAAAAGAACGTACATCTATAATTGCCGGGTCAACTGTTGCGAATTCTCTTTGGAAGACATAAACCCATCGACCCTGCAAAGCATTCTCCTTTGATGCTGATAACTTCACCTCCTGCATAGCCTCGAATGAATTGGAGGCAGATACCAACTTGGGGTGTTCCAGCAACGTTACTAGGGCACCCCTTTCCTATTTATCATGATTATAAGTTAAAGATCATTGAAAAAAAATACTATATATAATAAGAACTTCAATCAAATAGAGTCTAACAAAATAGATTAAACAAAAACACAATCTTTTTCAATGATTTAAGCATATGGGCACTAATTTCTTTCTCCTACATTTTGTAAGCAACCAAACAGAGCTGTTTCTTTGTCCTGGAGAGTTTTGGTATGTTAAAGGAAATGGATTTTTCGAAACACGAATTAGAAAGTTAACAAGAGATGAAGCAAGTTACCTGAGAGGAATCGGTTGGAAATGGAAGTCCATCGACGAAGATCATGACTTCTCAATTTGTTGTTGAAAAGAGAAAACAAGAAACTTTGTAACAAGAAGCAAGCAAGCAAAAGGGACACCTTTTCTGCTTCTTCTTCTTCTTCTTCAACCTCCGAAGCCCCATCAACAAAGATTACCTCCTTCCAATTTATCTTCTTTTCCATGAGAAGTAACAAATTAAATAATTTTACCCTAAACCTATAAGATTTTAATCAATTATGCCCCTCTAACTAACCTCTTCTTAAATAATTTATGTTAAACATAAAAAAATATTTTTATAAACATTCTTTATAATAACTACAATGATTCTTGTAATAAAGTCCGATTTTAACATAAGTACCATGTTGGTCGGCACAAAAAAACAAAGAAAATTAAGGTGATGTTCGGTAACATCGCTGTGGGTGAGTTCTAATTGAACTATATAAATTTATGTTTGATTAAAATCGAAACTGTGTTTTATTTTGATAGAATTCATGAAGAATTTGAGGTTCAACTCAGTCTGAAAAAAAGCAAGAAAAACCACAACCCTGTTTACTGGATTTGCTCTCCACAGTACCATTAAATTTTCGAATTCAAAAGGAGATATAGAGATACGTTTATGGCTTGTGGATGGTCTGACTAAAACTAGAAATTTAATTTTAATATATAAAAATTGGTGGAGAATGTTCCCAATAATAAAAAATAAAAAAAATATTTTTGTGCGGTGGATACATCACACATAATTCTGCTGCAAAGAATTTGTAAATTGGAAAAGTCATCTCAATCGAATATAATAATTAGCTACTTGATTAGCTTCCGGACGTGTGTTTAGTAATACAATACAATACATCATATTTTTATAAATATATTTTCTAATTAAAAATATATAAAAATAATATTTTTTTAAATTTTTTATTTTATTTTTTATATCAACACATTAAAATTATTAAAGAACATTTAAAAATTAATTTAAATTTTTAAATAAAAAATACTTTAAAACATGGGTTGAATCACCACATTATCAAATGGAGCTTCAAATACCAATGTCAATTGCTACTTAAGGAGTCCCTGCAAGTTTGATTCCACGCACAAGCAAATTTTTATTTTATTGCAAAAAATATGCGGTATTGTTAATGTTTTTTTTTCACCATCAACAAAAATTTTAATTATAAATTGATAAGTTGATATATGCATTTAATAAAATAATTTGAGAATCATCTATACTAATAAATAATAATAAATATATTAATTATAATCAAAGATTGAGTTAGAAAATCGAATTAAAAAATATATATTAAAATATTTAATTTCATATTACAAAAAATTCTTTAATTTATAAATTAATAAAGTGTTCACATGAACTAATGCTGTTGTTATTCAAAAGAAAGATTTGGATGGTAAAGAAAGTTGTGGGGAATTTATTTTATGACTTATGATAAAAAAAACTTATAAAAAATATATGATATTGACTTGATAAATTATGCTATTAAGCTGGCTTAAATGTGTCTCTCCAACATTGAAGGAAATGCATTTTGATTAGTAAATAGCTATATACATAATAATTAATTAGAATGCTTTCTTTAATTATTAGTATATTAATTAATTAGGGTGAGGGATAGCAATATATAAGATCCAGGATTTTCTTCTTAGAAATTAGTTAATAGGAGACTTTTTGCCCTGAAAGGGAGGGCACCGAACTGCTTTATACATGGCAAAGCTATTTGTAATGTTTGCAAGATGTACTTAGACCAATCTTGAGAGGTAGCTCAACTAGTCATGTTTTGGATTTGTGATTATAAATTTGAATTATCTTAAAATTACTAGAGGCTTACATAATTATTGACTTTATAGTTCATAGAATTAGTCGAAATACATGCAAGCTGGTCTAGACATTCACTTTTTAAAAAAAAATGATATGCTTGCATCTTAAATTGAAGATCCAAAATTACTTCAGCAAGCATCATATCAACTGATTATTGTTTAAAGATTCAATCAATATTCTAATGGCTTCATCATAAATTGGATTAGGACAAAATTAATAGAATTTATGAGTTAGCAATTAGAAGCGGGATATTTAATTGATCATGGGAGGGAGTCGTACTGTAATAGATCTATCTATGTTTATAGATTTATATATCTTTTTTTTTTCTTTTTTGCTTAAGCAATGCTTATAAACAAAATCATGTGAGAGGAAAATGGCCACTGATATTATATCACAAGCTACAATGATCCATGCAAAGAAATTTGAATACAAATAAGAGGTGTTAATCTCATTTCGATGCACTCATATGTTTATTAAAATATGAATTTTCATTTCATATCTAGCAATGATTTAAGCATTCACTAATTGTTAATTTTGTTTCTTAATAAATCCATATATCAGGACTCCTTTAACAAGTAAAATCATCAATATATAAATATTAAAGAAAGTAACTTAATTAATAAGCACATTCTCTAAACATTAGATGCCTCACGCACCCACAATAAAAAACCGAAGTTATCTGATTCCCATTAATAAACAATCTTATAACAAACATCTATTCAATTGTTTATTTCACCAATTCATCTATATCTAAACAAATATGACAAAAGACATATCCTTGTAAATGTAAAATTATCTTTGATGAAAATTTTCTCATCCATTGCATAACACCATTAAAGTCCTTCAAAATTATATAACTATATTTATGAAAATGAAATAATCAAAGGGAACTCTCAAGGAACAAACAAAGATAATAATGAATTTTCTGCAATACAGAAACCATTTATCTTAATGTCTAATTAGAACAACTAGCCCAAAATGATATAAATTTATCTCTAAATTCATCTATTTATAGGTAGTCATAACACTATTTATAAATAGTAAAATTCTAAATCAATCGACCATTCAGCCAAAGGCCTACTAAGATTAACTAGAAGCCCAAAATAAAATAATATCAAATCTAATAACAAAACTCAACTAAAAATTTAAATAATCTGAACAAAAAAAGCATAAGTTAAGGCCTAATCTTCCAACCAATGGACAATGGTTAGGTTACCCTATATTATTGAAGATCATACACATGCATGAACCATTTCTCGAGTATGGTGTCCTTACCTACTCTCCATGAGTTGGGAAAACTTGACCACATTAAATATAGTTCTAGACGACACCAATAAGACTTTTAAAAATAAGAATTAATTTGTTGCAATGTCACTTATGTAATCCAAGTAGAGTATAAATATAGTATTTATCTCATAAATTAGGACTTCTTAAACTTTATTATCCTTGGTGAAATTAATTTGTGCAATCAAAATAGCATTAATATTTTTTTTATGTCAATAACATAAATAATTGGGTATGAGTTTCAAAAGAAACATCAAAGATAATTGGGAAGGAGTTTCAAAAGAAACATAATTGCTATTATAACCTAATTTTTACCTTCAAAAATTTCCAAGAAAAAATCTTCAAAATCATTATCAAAATGATCTTATTCACATAAAATATTTTAAAAAAAAATCTTCAGAGAAAGAGGTTTAAAATTAAAACAAAGTTTTAGGTTGCAATCAAGCAATAATTAAAGGATAAAAAACCAAAATGGAATAGAAATTAGAATTTAGGAACCTACTAATTTAATTAGGAGTCTAATTGAAGAAAACATTGGTTAATTTGACTAAAATTGAACAAATTAGATATTCAAGGACTAAAGTGTAGAAGATGTTCGCACTGAAGTATCATTTTAAATGTCATCAAGGACTTAATTGAAAGAGAATTTGGAAAATTAATCCAAATTAGCAATATATGAAGGAGTTAAAAGTATAATAACTAAAGTGAACACAAACAAAATAATTAAAAAAAGAAAAAAAGGTTGAAAAAGTCATTTAAATGAAATGGTGCAATGAAATATTTCTTAAAGGAAATAAAATTAAAGACATCTATAATGGTGTCGTTTAATGCATGGTGAAGGATTGTCTTTGACCCCTCGTGCATATATGGTTTTTTTTTTTTTTTTTATAGTGTGTTGGCCCATCTTTAAGTACAAGTTTTTTTTTTCTCACGCAAACATTAAAGGTCAAAAAATAAGTCATTTTCTTTCCTTAGACTTGTATTTTATTTTCTACCAAAGACTCACTTTATTTTCTATATGTGGTGGCATAAAACTCGTGCCAAAAAACCAATCCGAGTATGGTGTACAAATTTACAACAATAGTGAAAGGCCAAGTATAAACCCCTGATTAAAAATAATAAAAAAATTAGGATAATGTTAAATAATTAAAATTGAAGCTTTAAGGACTAAATTTTCTAGATATGGCTAATCATTAAAATGTACCAAGATAAGATATTCAATTGAACAAAACACCCAAATTAAAATATAGTGGCATTATAATAATTTTAAGATCTTGAAATTAATATAAATAACTTACTTGGCTCCTTAAGAAAGCTAAGTGCAACCGACCACATTTGCAAAGAGAGGAGATGGGAAATTCTTCTACTTTCTTAAAACCTTCTCATTAAGGTGTTATAAATATGTAATGTGTTTTTTTTTTACAAATCTTCAATTAAATACCCATCTTATTTACACATAAATTAAAGTTTGGGTGTTGTTGATTGTTCACATTTACGATATTGTGAACTTTAGGTGTTATGAAGTAGGTTAATTAACCATATACACTACTAGATTTGCACACCAATAATATGCATGGTTTTTTCTTTTACATCCTGTTAAAAATAAATTTTTCTTACTTAGAAGCTAAAGATTTTGAATACCCATGAATGTGTCTTATTATATTCTTAAAATGATAAAATCTATTTTACAACATGTACTTTCTCATCTTATATGAAAGATATGCCATAAGTGACTTGGATTATGTACCAGTAATCTCATACTCAATAGTCTTTTGTCAATTTACTTTGTTTTAATTGGTGGTCTAATAAATAATATGGTCTTTGGTTTACCCTATAAAAAAAACTAGAACATTAAGATTTTATTTTGCCTTTTCAAATGGACAATTTTATCAACTTTTTTGGAACATTAAATTTTAAAAGAATTTAGAGATTGAAATAATTAATTTTGTAAAATCTAGATGATTGGAGAGTATAATATTAAAACATTTTTTATTATTATTTCTCCTGTAAGGTTTAGAGGATTGGAGAGTATAATATTAAAACTTTTATTATTATTATTATTTCTCTCAACAACTTTGAGTAAGGTTAAAATAGACATCAACAAATTGCTTGATTTTGTGTACTTGTTGTTTTTTACTTGCTTGATTTTGTATAATAATAAAATTACAAGTCAATGATATTTTTTATAAATGCTAAAGAA